GGTTGCCTGCACAGCGATGAAAGACCCTTCGCAGGGGTTTTGTTGTCTATTTGCCTGGGTATTTGTCATGTGTGTGTGAGTGTTTTTGTCTTTTTACCTATTTCCGAGGGACGCACGACCAACTCCTCACTATAACAACACCAGCAACGATGAGCAGCGACAACCTGCGACGTGTAAAATGTGAGATAATGGGCAAAAACGCTTGACGGCAAACATGAACCTGCCCGAAAATGTAGAATGGTGGATTTTCCCAGGCTAAGGAATTTGCACAGGTGAGACGAAGATACCTAAGTTAAGATAGCGCATCACACAGCCCACAAATAACATCTGTATCCGTATCCACAAACAATTCCACATCCGCATCCACATCCGCCGAGAGCCCTCCTCCCTTTCCATTCCCCCAGTAAATATCCACGGATTAAAAACTGGAGTTATGGACGCATGTTTACCAAACTTTTTAAAAGGTGTTTAGTTTTTAGGCAAGTGAGTTGGTCACATGGCTTTGGTGGTTTTCTTACCTCAAAACCAATGTTTTCAATCAAATGCAAGGTACGATTCGATTAGTTTCTATCCGGTCTACTAACCGGTCAAGTGTCATTGTGACCTATTAGTTTGCCAACAAATGACCCTTCGATTAAAAAACAAAAAAAAAACTCCGACCCCAAAGATTTACAAAAATTAACAACAATTTATTATCAGTACCACTTTTTCATTTGTTTCATATGTACACGTTCAAAGTAATGAGATTAAGGCTCAACAGTCTAAGTTACCTACAATTTAAATATTACATTTGCAAAGATGAATCGTATTTATGTATATATAGCGTAATTTGTTTGTTGACTTGGTAATAATTGGTGGCCTGCAAAAACAAACAATAAGTTAGCTATTGTTGTACTAGATAACTTCATTTTTGTCAAACAACTGCATTTGTTTTTTCAGCGGTACAACTTTGGTACCACCACTTAGCTTTAGGTGGCTTTCCCTTATCGGCTATTTCCATTACCATTAAAAGTTCTTTAACATAAATTAAACATTTTAGGATTGAGCTGCTGTTGAATTAAGATAACGTATAATAGTCGTCGAAGGATTTAGGTCGAAATTAAAGATGTACTTTAATATTAAAACAAATTTTGATTAACCCTAATATTGGACAATAATACTTTACAGAATCAATAGAAAATACTACCACAACTTTATGGTTTTGTAAATGTCAAAAATGTAAAATATTGTTATTCATTTTTGTTTGTTATTTTAAACTGTTCTGAAAAATCAGATACCTTCCGCCCCTTGATTAACTCCAATCGCGCTAGATTGCGGTAGTACTTATGGATGGACACTGATATAAGCATATGTATACAGGTAACTCCCACTCACCGCAGACATCCAGCCATCCTTCGATTCTACTGGGGTAGGAAATCGCTGAAACCCGGCTTAAATAAGTTCGACGTCCCATTTTGTGGGGGTGGTAAATTGGGTCTGGGTGGATGCTGTGCTCTCTCTCTCTCTCTGTGGTTCTCTTTCTCTCCTTTTGCTCTCGCCGTCTCACTTATCGTTTAGCTTATCGACTCGTTGAGTTTCTGTTGTTGTTGCCGCTGCTTAATTTGAATATTGATTTTGTTTGTTCTTGCTTTTGTTGTTTTGTTTTTATTGCACTTGTGCCTTATGGCGTTTTGGGGGTTATTGTAAAACAAAAGATTAAAGAAAAAATAAAAATCCGAGATTTGTGTCGATTTCAAGAGCAGGTTGCCGCGCTTGTTACTTTTATTCGGTTTTTTACGATTCCAATTCCGCTCTTTGTTTTAATCTCCATCATTGCTCTCTTTCCTCACTTGATTTTCGGTGCTTTTAGTGTTTTTTTTCGTAACAGCTGAGTGCCATTTTTGCGGTACCTTTAACTGGCTCTTCACCTCGTTTGTTGTTGTTATCACCAGAAACCAGAAACTTTATTTTGCACTTGTGGTGGAGTGTGTATTTAATTTTGGAGTGTCGTATTATTTTTAAATCACGACTCCGCCAACAACAACAAATCAAGCATGTGCTGTTTCGGCGGTTCTCTGTGTGTTTGTGCACGCGCTCCAGAAATTGATATTCTTGTTGCTCTTATTTCGTAGGTGACACTCTCCCACTACACATTAAAAAAAAACACAAACAGAAGATATTCGGACCGGATCGAAACGGTTTCAAATCCACGACGGTCCAAACGGAAAACTGCGGCGACGTCGACTGCGGCGCCCGATCTAGAGGTGGAAGCTTCCATCGATGATTAATCGGATTGCTGACAAAATATCATAATATCAATATATCGATATAGCCGTATAAAACTGGATAAATATCGGAATTACGATATTGTTATGGGCCGAAAACTTACTGGTATTTAACAGCTTCGGTCGAGTCAAAATAAAAACTAAAAATTCTCTACCTACACTAAATTGAAATTTAAAATAAATTAAAGGGAAACAAATTGCGCAAGTCGACTGTCAATGAAAATACATATGTGCATACATCTATTTTTTAATCAGACCTAAAATTTCGCTCAAAAAAGTGCTGATAGTAAATGCCTTTGCACGGCTGATTGTCTTTACAAAATATATTTTGTAAAATGTTGTTTTTCTTTAAATAAATATCGGTACTATACCCTAATATTTATGTTATTTGTTTTTTTTTGTTGATGCTTTTCCACCATGGTTGGTGACTCTGGTTTCCTTGTTTTTCTACCAAAAATGTCATCGTTTTTCTAATAATGGCACAGCAGCTGCAGAATTTGCAAAAAATCCATGTCCAAAAATTATTTTGACTTTTTACGATTTGACAGCGACTTATTGTTTTTTGAAAGAAATCTTTCAGCGACCATTGTTGGTGCCTTAGGGTGCACTTTTTTTCCAACCGATATGTGTCTCAGTGAGAGCTTTTGTTTGTTGAGGGTGAGATTGAGATTCAAAACAGTGCGCGCCAAAAAAATACACCAACAAAAAAATTGGCCGCGTTCGTTGTGACCGGTTGAAGTCAAACCAGAAATTCAAAAGTTGGCCACGCAGTAAAGAAGAAACACCATAAAGCAGTGTTTCCCAAACTTGTCGAGACCGCGACCCATCTACACAAAAAATTGAAAGATCTATATGGCAATAGTACCCACCAAAAATCTACTGAGAGACTAGTTTGAAGAGAAACAGACAGACGGACAGACGTACAGACGTATTCTGATTCTACTTGTGTTGCTGATCAAGAATATATATAGGTACTTTATGGGGTCTGAGGTGTCTCCTTCACTGCTTTGCAAACTTCTGACTGAAATTATAATACCCTTTGCTCTGCAAGGGTATAACAAGAGACGTAATGTTAAATTCGCTGTTTCAATGGCAGCATGTATGTTTATAGCGATTTCCCTTCACGATTACCTTACAAAAACGAAATATTTTTTATCTGATAAGTCCATCTTGGTACCGGGTTGCAAACAGAGCATGGGAAGAATAGTTTTTCATATATGTATATGCCTCTTGCTCATTGAACTTCGCGTTTTTTCGATCACTAATGCATTAACAATTTAATTATTCTAGATTAAAATATGTATGCTGTATTATGGCTTGCTTTTTCACCTTTTCGACCTTTTTTTTATAAAACAACCCGAACGAATCATTATAATCATTGCTTAACCCCTTTCCCCAAAAGAAAATACATTTCTGGTTTAGTTTAACATGAGCTTTTATTCATTTCACTCATTTTTTAATAGTTTTTTATTTATTTTAGATTTCAAAATCAAACTTATGGCTTCAAAACAACCTTTTTGATTAATTTATCACAAAGTATTCAAATCCATTTTTAGTCAGAAATACAAATACAAACAAATACATTTTTCAACTGCGATGTCTTGAGATTAAGATGCTTAATGAATGTTCGCGCCAGAGCGGCGCTTTCCAGTCCTTTTTGAACCGCCCCTGGAGTCTTAAGAGTCGTGAGAGCAGTTCTTCCAGATCACTTGCATCTCGCTCTCTGGCACTGTTAAGGGTCTCCAATCCGCTCTCGGAGCGGCTCAAAAAGTTTCCACCCCGTAGTTTAAGTTAGTTCTAATTTCCAAGTGTACGAGTGAAGTCGCAGAAATAAAGTGAAGTTGTTTTTATAACGTTTAAACGAAAACTTGTCCGCGTTCTTAATTCTACCCCAAACCCAAAATCGAGAAGGAAGGAAGGAATACCCGCCGTATTTCACCCCAACAATGAATAAAGAGATTAAATTTCAGCCTAAGCTCACAAATTTGAAGTAAATAATATTTCATTCATTTTTTTAAATGTCTTTTTTCCAAGATTAGATTACAAATTAAAACTTTTTCCATCAACATTTTTGGTAAATTTACCACGTACATTCTTAAATTAATTTTCAGCGAAAAATTTAACAACACATTTTTAAAATGCGATGATTAGAAGTAAATAATATTTCATACATTTTTTTAAATGTCTTTTTTCCAAGATTAGATTACAAATTAAAACTTTTTCCATCAACATTTTTGGTAAATTTACCACGTACATTCTTAAATTAATTTTCAGCAAAAAAATTTAACAACACATTTTTAAAATGCGATGATTAGAAGTAAATAATATTTCATTCATTTTTTTAAATGTCTTTTTTCCAAGATTAGATTACAAATTAAAACTTTTTCCATCAACATTTTTGGTAAATTTACCACGTACATTCTTAAATTAATTTTCAGCAAAAAATTTAACAACACATTTTTAAAATGCGATGATTAGAGATTAACGTGCTTATTATTTATTTGAGTTTCTTTTAATGTTTTTTTTTTTAACATTATTCCAAACTCAAACTATTTTTAATCAATTTTCATTAAAAGTTACAAACTTAAATTATACATTTTTAACAGCAATTATAAGAGATTAGACTGCTAATTTTTTCTTTCAATAATACAGTAAATGTTTCCAAATCTAAGATCGTCACAGCCTCTGAAAAGATACAAAAAAAGGCAAACTCATTCAACTAAGCTTAAATACTTTATTTGATTTTAAGATCAACCGAATATATCCTTTAATTCCTTAATCCGCTTCAAAATGCATGGGTTGATGAACTCGATTACGTTACAGTTATTCACTGCCTTCCCATCATCCCATCTGCCTAATTCGCCCAGTATTTCGTTTCTTTTTCAAACTTTACGAGAAATGTCCCGAACTTCGGAACCACACCAATAAAAACCAATTAAACCCGTTTACGGAGATCCATGGAAGAGTCTTTTGAAGCTTTCCAGCGGCATTTGTAGAACAACTCCTCCATGTTGTGGACCAAATGCCCCAAATATGAACGCAACGTGAAAGACAAGTGGGGAAAGACACTTTGCAGCAGAGGACCTCGCACATAACAACGCCTCCCGTCAATCTCAACCAACGACTGCTCATAGGAGGCACCCGCCTTGATCACAAACCCCAACAAAATCATTATTAACGTCTTCTTCAATTACCTTGCGAGTGTTGATATTTGTGGAATCTATCAGAGCGTGCAGCTGGGAGGATTCCGGGAGTTCCTGCGAGGGAGTGATGTTGCCCGCTGATGGCTGAGGTTGAGTTTTGTCGAAAGGATCAGAACGTCCAGCGCCTTCAGACTGATTATGAACATTCGGCTTCAGCAGCAGCTTCCGGAAATCATGCTTCACCTGCGGCACCCGTTCGTTTAATGGCTTCATTCGTTTGTTCGGCCCCGTCTCGCTAGTTGCTGGCCTTTTTCCAGGAATCAACGGAGTTTGAACAATTGAAGTACATGGGATTTCATCGGTATCCAATTCTCGGAGGGCTGCAGCCACGCGCACATCCGCTTGGTCGTTATCAAGCAGCAAATTACCCATCTTATCAGGCATCTGATTCAATTTCGGAATTAAAAAACAGGACATAATCGATTCCCCTTCTTGGCTGGAATCCAAGTCTATTATTTGCTCCTCAATTTTTTCCCACTGACTACTATTGCTGTCAACATTGCAACGTTCGTTGTTAAGGAACTTAATGGGTTCCTGCTTAATTTTCGCCACATTTAAGGACATGGACTCTTTTGATGATTGTGACACATCTGCGATTCCCGCGACCTTTAGTGGATCACCTGCAATTTCTGTCAGTTGGGAATCTTGGCTTACAGTTCCCACGTTGAAAACAATCGACTCAATAGGCTGAGTGGGACCGCCACTATGTATCTCTGAAAGTTTAGAAATTATTTTAGTTATTGGTAGAGATTTCGGTCATAACTTACGATAAGCGGCGTCTTCGTCTTCACTCGAGGAGATGGAGAGTATTTCTTGTTTTTGGCTGGCACCCAAGTCTGTTGTTTGCTCCTTTCAATTTATTTTTAAGATAGAATCCAATTTAGTTTCCTTACTCGAACATATTCCTCAATAAAAAGTGGTTTCTTACCTTTGCGTTCTCCAGGAGCACTGGCGTCTCTAATATTTGGGTTGAATGTTGTAAAGAGTTTGATTTCGTAGTAAAATTTAAATTTTCATTTGTTAGGTTTTTCTCTGAAAATATTGTCGATTGGCCTTTGTTTCCATCAATCTTTGTCTTTCTAATGAAATAAGGAAGAACAAAACGATTTATAAAACTATATCAAAACCACATTCATTACTTACGTAGATAATAGTGCTTGCCCTTTTGATTCAGGCTGATATATTCTTATATTACTAGAATTACTGGAAACGTCCTCTTGGACTTGCGCACTGCAATTAACCAAATATTATTAGGAAAAAACAAGGGAACGTTTTTATTTACCTCTCCTGGGGTAGATCTTCTTTATTAGGTTTCGCCACTTTATTCACCAAGTTGCGATCCACTTGGCAAGCCGTTTCCTTTGGACATTGCTCAGTAAATTTCGGTGACAGGCTAAGCAGTTTTTCCCGCAACTTGGCGGGGCATGGTGGAAAAGCCAGTAGGCGGTCCTGAAACTCCGTGGCACATGGCCGCAACTGGAATTTGTAATTGTGGCGGAAATCTGGTGTAAGGTAAAAAGCCATGTAGTAGTCATAGGCACACTCTTCGAGGACTTTGCCGGCATAATTTTCGTCCGTCATTTTTAGGCTTTCCACAATTTGGTTTAAATTCAGCAAGCTTCTCTTAAACTCCTCAAAACTCGCGATAAAACTGTGCAAGAATGAAAAGAACGATTAGAGAAAAACATTTGTGTGAAACGTTTGTTTGCTCACTTTTCATTATTCTTCCTTGCGTCAAATACCGAAACAGATTTGACTGCTTGAGCATCATAAGGTCTGCTGAATTCCAGTAACTTAGCTAAAGGAGTCGGTGGGCATTCTTTAAAAAAGTTTGCCTTGCCACGAAATCGTGCAAATATGTAGTAGCGGAAATAGAAGTTTCTTAAGGTACTAAGACGATACTCATCATCGGCCAATAGCTTCACACCGTGCTCTTTGTCCTTGGTGATCGCGCGGAACACCACTAATTTGTTAATGTTTCTTTCAAAGGTCTCAAAGGACACCGGAAAAGCAAAGGTGCCAAACCTGCACAAATCGAAATGTTGTTAACGCCATTAGTTCGAATTGAATGGCACTTACTTGTTTTGTTTAACTAGGTGATCTTCAGATCCTAGTTTTAGGTTTCGTGGCAAATTCTTCGCTTCGCTTTTAGCGTGATCGACTTGTTTTGATATTGACTGGTTGATCTCTTGCTGTTTACCCGCATTTATTATCACTTCAGGGTCAGGAACCTTGAGCAACTTTTCTCGGATGCAATGAGGGCAAGGAGCCACCTCGAACTGATACTTTTCTCGAATACTTGGATCTTTGTAAAACGCTTGGTAGTACCACTGTGCGTAGTCGTCGTCGGTTTTGTCATTTTTGTGGTTTCCATCGGCGGATCGTAGGACGCTTGCGATCTTCGGCAGGTTAGTTATTAGCCTTTTAAATACCGTCAAGGTTACAGGATAAACCTGATCTTTGGATGCTAAATTGGTGAGCGACTGCTCGCCGAGTGGGCTTTTTCCCTTTAATACTGACATCAAAACAAGCAATATATTATTAACAAAGCTTACAACACGCCAACCAACTCCACGAAAACCGCCAAAATAATACGACGCTAGAAATTTAGAAAAGCAAAGGTGTGACCGCACATGAAAAAATAAAATATACCATCTGCCAGTGTTAAATATTTGCTTTACATTGCTTAAGGCATGGTATAATAAGTACACTTGGCCCTCGCTTAACACGGACTCTTTTAGCACGAACTCGGTCTTACACGGTTACGAATTTGTTCCCATCTAGGGTTGTGAATAATATATCAAAATATCAATATATCGATATTTTTTTAACCTGATATATCAAATATCGCTAATTTTTTTTGATATTTCCTAATTGGTCACTCTGATGTGATTACACGGAAGCCAAGGAGATGAGCGCGCCAAAAATTTATTTTTATGTGGATTTGTGTGTATTTCCGCGAATTTTTGTGTTTGTACACGAATTCCGTGTAATTGATTTAATTTGCTCTCGAGTTTTTTCCGCTAAATTCGTGTTAGTGATTTTGTTTTTAATTTTCTATAAATTACTTGTAATAGGAAAAAGGCAAAGTAAAATCAGGATAATATATAAATGTATGTATGTATTTAAAATAAAGCATTGAGCAACTGTGCAGCGAAAACCGTTAAAAAAAAAACAATTTTTGTTAAATTTTGGTTGATTAATAAAAATAAATATGTAAATTAAATAAATATCAAAAATACTTGATATATCGATTTTTTTGGGTGATAAATATTTTTATCAATTTGATAGATTTTTAAAAAACGATATATCACTGATACGATATTTTTTACATATCATCACAACCCTACTCCCATCCCCCTTTGAAAACGCTAAAAACCTCGTTCTTACACGATTGCAAAATATCGATAATGAAATAGACAGATTTTTTTTGATAACGAGCCACCAAAAAAGAAAACATGTTAAAACAAACTCGCCCCCAAATGGATTTTAAATTTGATATGATCTTATTTCTTATTTCTTCTTATTTTTTAACATTTTTAAGTTTCTTTAAAGTGTAACCTGCTAATTAATTATATAAAGCAACTTTTTTAATTTAATACCAACTTTTAATTTCGAAAATATTAATGTTATGCATTTATTAAAGGCACATTCATACTAACTTTTGGTTAATTTTGAACCAATGTATGAAACTTTAATAAATAAATATGAACAATAAAAAAATTTTGTTGCTATGAACTTTGAATTTTAAGAACGTAACACCGTATTTTGTACTGCAATCGGTACAATCTTATTGATGATATTTTTTATCAAAAAAAAAGTGAAAATATTTAAAATATTACATCAAAATATCGATATTTTTTGTGTTAAAAAATTTCCCGCCCACAATAAAAAGACAATAAGTTTCTTATTAAAAATAATAGTATTATTGTTATATGTATATACATATGTTATGACCAGTATGTATTTAGTTTGTGAGATTTTAAGAACACCCTTTGTGTGCGTCCGTTATCCTGCTTTTTGCCTCAGCATTCTTGAAAGACTTCGTTATTGTCATAATATTTTCAAAGTTCGTTGACAGCTAAGAATTAAAACTTATTAATATACATATATTGTGAACAACGTGTTTGTGTGCGTTTGGCGCCAATTTTCAGTGGTATGTGCGTAAATTACATATGCACACATAGACACCATGAAATCTGTCGCTTTGGAATTCAGAGTAACCAAAGACAAAAATATCAAAAACTATCAAAAATATATATTTATATTTCGATATTTGGGCAAACAAAAAAATACTATATAAATATATCATTTTTTGAATAAAATATCGATATATTGATATGTTGATATATTATCAACAACCCTAGTAGCATTCCATTTTCCGTTCAAACGGTTTTTTTGTGCGCGTCGCGCTTTTGTTGATTGACTGATATAACAATACAGTAATTTGTTAAGATGGACACGCCGCGCCGTAAGCTGCGCAACTTGCACATGGTGAACGTACAGAACAGCAGCACTCCAATTCGCGTCCCGCCGTCGCCGATGTTAAAAAGGCTTGGTCACGGTACCGGTGTTAGCGTTTACCGCCTGGATCGCTCACCGCGATGCGGCCAAATCCGGTCGCCGTGGGCTGTGAAGCGGCTCAATCAAAACATGCGGGTTAAGAAGGACACGCTCTTCAACGAACGGATTGTCCACGAGGCGGAAATCCTGCGGTAAGTTCTGCTAAACCACCGCAATTCCATCGGCTCCACTTGCACTGTCCTGCGATTGTGTGTGTGTGTGTGTGTGCTTTGTGTGGATGCTGCATGTGCGTGTGTACTAGGATAGCCCCATATCAATGTGGGTCACACAAGTTTTAGAGCTCCCTAACTAACTAATTTTTTTTATATTTATCTACTTGTGGGATATTAATAATATAATGTTTAATAGACCCTTCATAAATAATAATAAATAACAGTTAGCCTTTGAAATTAGATATAATTATACCCTAGCAGAGCAAAAAACTATGATAACTATATGATAGAGTTATCCGATTTTAATACAATTTAATTCGAAGTTCGATAGTAGTTAAAAAACACAATCTGGAAGAAATCAAGTCAATATGATCAAAAAAAAATTTTTCAATATTTCGTATGCGAGCTATCCGATATAGTCTCCCGATCCGGCCCGTTCCGACTTATAGCTTTTAAACTGAGAGACTAGTTTACATAGAAACAGACAGGAGGACAGAAATCCCTAGAAATTCCTTAACTGATAACTTTTTTTTGTTTTTGCTATTTTAGTAAGCTGCAGCATCCGAATATCGTAGGTTTCCGTGGAGTCATCACCAATGAAGAGGGCCTTAATACTCTTGCGCTCGAAATGTGCACTACTTCGCTTGGTTCCATACTCGAGGAACGTCACGACGAAGATCTAGGTCCGCTTCAGGCTAAACACACTTATAAGATGATTATGGACGTTGCTCTGGCCCTAGATTTCCTTCACACTGAGGCTCGGTTGCTGCACGGCGACCTCAAATCCTTTAATATCCTGGTTAAGGGAGAGTTTGAGATCTGCAAGCTGTGCGATTTCGGGGTCTCTCTGCCGCTGGACGAGCAGGGCGAGATTAATTTTGTTAAGAATCCCGAGCTGCGCTATGTGGGTTAGTTGAGACTGCAGATATTTTATACATATATCTGGTACCTAAGTCTTGAATACCACGATGATTATCAAGTTAAATTGATGGTACATATTTGAAACAAAATTAAAACCCGTTTTGTTTTTTAGGAACTAGCCTTTGGTGCGCGCCAGAGGTCATGGACGATGTGGACATCATAGACAGCAAAGCAGACATTTTCAGCTTTGGTTTGGTTATCTACGAAACCCTGGCCCTGGTGCCGCCACATACCTTAGAACTCGATGCAGCGCTGGGCGAGGATATGGACAGCTCCCACGATTTGACCACTGATGCTGAGAAACTGCAGCGCAAGCATCTTACCTTTTCAGACAATGAAAGTAAAGGTGGGAAAGATCCTGAAGTCGAAGAAGAGCATACAGACAACGATATGAGTCAGGATGTGGCTGAGGAGGAAAAAAAGGCGGTCGAAGAGGAAGAGGATGACACCAAGGAGAACGACATCTCTGATTTTTCTCTAAACAACCTTCATTCGGCTTACGGCACACGCCCGCCTCTGCCGGTGGCCTTTCAGCTGAGCGACGATTACAACTGCATAGTTGAGCTATTCTACCTTTGCACGAATACTTTGAGCGAAGATCGTCCAGCGGCCAAGACTGTTTGGCAGTGCCTTGAGAACAATTCCGCAAATGTGACGACAGTAAGCGATTAGACTGATCATCACATTTAATCTCCACACTCTTCCTTCCTTTGGAATCTAGCTCTAAAATTTCAAATTTCTGGATGTCCTAATTTTGTTTGCTTTTATAAATAATAAGCTATAACTTCTACTTTGTAAGAAAAACTTGTCGGCGATTGCACGCATGAAGTCAAAATTTAGTATGGTGTACATATGTATTCAGCAGCCAAAAAAGAGATCGATTGAATCGGGTCCCAACTAAAATAACTTTATGGTTTCAAAAATTTAAGACATAAATGTTGTCAACAATAAAGCTTATAAAAAGTATTAATTTTGAAAAAACGCTACTAAATGTATATAAAACTCGTAACTCATTATTGGTATTTAAACTATAAGATTTTGTTATTGATAAGGTTTGTTCACAATAGAAGTGATTTTTGTAAGGTGAAACTAAGTTAAATTGATCCAATATTATATAAAAGTATTGCTGGTACCAAGTAAACACATTTTTCAACTTGATATTCCCATGTGAAGTTATTATTTTTCAAACCAATTCCGTTATTTTTTCCGACCTCCCAAGGAAACTATTTTGACAAATCTCACATACAAGTTTACTTAGGTTTATTAAAAAATAATACATACATCAAAATATAATTATTTCTTTTGCTTTTCGGTCTTTATAGTTGTTCAGCGGAAAGATACTTGCGTTGTATACATACGCGTGTGCAGGGAACAGGGTATTTTTTGGAGAGTATAGGTATTAGTTCGATAAAAGTTCAGATTGCTTGGTATAACAAGGATATGTGGAGTAGGGATAAGGGACAACACGCATTTAATTATACTTTTAGATTCGCTGCTGTCTATATTCTAAATCTTGCTATTTATTTAGGGTATTTCGTACGGTTAGTTATGCCTGTCCGGTCTCATAAATATGGGTATTGTTAACTTCAAGTCGAGCAGACCGCATCGCATCTGCCTTGAGTGGCTTTTCCTCAATTTGACTAAAGCGCATCTACAGGGATACGCATTTAACATAGATTGAATTAGTGTATATATTCTCTTGTATATATATATATAAAGTATCGAATTGCTCTCGTAAAGGCGAAGGCGCTTTTGGTGTTTCCTTTATTCTTAATTGATTTGTTAACTTTAGCTCGCCTTCTTTTTTCGTTTCTCCGTAACTTTAAATGGTGACAATTACAACAAACAACTTGAACGAGTATTGGACGCATTGACGAAACACAAAAGCAAAAATGACAAATAAGTGCAATGTTTAAAATAAAATAATAATAAAAAAAAAATATGATGAGTAATGCCAAAAATAAAAACCATGAAGCTGGTCTAAAAAAGTAAATAGCAAACATACACAGAATTCTCGTCTCAACCATTTTTTGGTGTTATTTGACTTCTTAAAGTACATAAAATGGAATGTTTTGGGTATAAATTAGTCGCGTGTGATTTTGTTTACAATTATTGCTCTTTCAGAATCGTTTGATTCGAATAGTTAAGAAAAATTAATTTCTCTGCCTTCTGCATTTGATGCTTTATCTCTCTCTCTCTCTCTGTTTCACTCTCCCATAGCTGTCTCACTCTAATCTAATGCAACAAGCAAGTATAATAACAAGACGTATATCTTACTAATTTAAATACACATATATATATGCCAATGAAAAAGATAAAACGGGGGACTGCATCCAAACACTTGCAAATGAATAGGTGACTTTTGTATGGATTTGAGTTTCGTGGAATGTATGGGGAAAGTCGTATGAGTACATATATAATCGCATTCATATATTGCTCACCTACCACGAAGTGGGTATATTGTATGGATAGCGTTCACAATTTTAATTTAACTATACAAAACTAGGAGCCAAATAATTTACCATGTTTCTACATATTTATCGAACGGTTCGTGCAATCTGACCAATCTTTAAGGATATCAACATTTTTTTTTAACCGAGGTTTCGTGAGCTTTGACAGTCTTTTAAGTAAGTGAGCTATATATAAACGATTAATATACATGTGATTAGCTGGCCTAACGTGTATAACTTTAAATAATTGACTTGGGTTTAACGAACTTATCCGATCTTAGGGAAAGTTAAGTCTGATAAACTGAAAATTTCTTCTCTTTTTTGCTGTAAATTAACTTTTTCCGTTGCTTGAGTTCTGCATTCTGTTCGACGAGCTGTATCTTCTGCTTATTCCTACAAATGCAGCACTCCATCCTTAACATCGCTGGCCATTATCGTGGACGCATTGGATGCTGCCTGCTGGTGATGCGACGAGGGAGATGAGGACAGCGGTGGCGCCTGCTGCTGGTGATTGTGATTCCCGGCAGATGTAGAGGTGGGACTCTCGTCTAGTGTCACACCCGTCAGGTCCACGATATCGTCCTGATCGTCGTGCTCGATTTCGTCGGAGGTGTTGGTATTATTAGTGTGATGCGAGCCACTGGACAACTGGCTGTTTCTCGAGAAGGAACCCCGATGTGTAGATGTCAACGTACGCTGATTGGCCGGCTTAACAGTGATGATCAAGTTGGAGCTATTAGCCACCATCATGTCGGTAACCTGGTCCAGAGTCTTGCCAGCCACTTCGATGCCATTTACCTCGATCACCTCGTCGTTTACGGCCAGCAAGCCCGTACTTTCGGCGAGGCCGCCTGGCACCAAACGGGATATGAAAATTCCTGGCTGCTTTTCGAGTCCACTGGCCGTCACCCGCACGGAAGTGCCATCCCTTATGTAGAATCCCAGTGGTTTGTCGCTGCCGTGCTTTAGCAGCCGTACCCTGCGATGCGTTTCCGGCACAATATCCACATCTATAATAGCCGAAACCTGGCGGAAATCGTGGGGTATGGATATCGACGGCGCTTTTGTCTTTACTGGTGTGTGACCCATTAATATGCTGCCGATTAGGTTCCTAGGTTTCATCGTTCCAAAGCCCGAGTACTCGTTCAGATCATCTGCAAAACATAACAGGACGTGGTAATTTGGGCATGAGCCTTGCGATGGAGCACTCACCTTTGCGCTGAACTATTACTCGTAGAAGTGGACGAGCGGTTTTCAAAGCTCTGCCGAAGTTATCATCATTGTTGATTGGCAAAAGATCGTTGTCCCGCGGATCAATGTACAGTATAAGAAACTGAATGTTGGTTAACTTGTGCAGCTGCTCCACAAGGGCCGCAAATTTGTCGAAGCTCTGCTCCGTCTCATTACGTTTAAAGCTCCACCGCCGGAACTCAGCATCAAACTATAAGATTGCGTTAGTTTAATAATTTAAATCACTTGTAAATTTATTAATATTACTCAAGACAATTTAGTTAGTATGTTTATTGTTTTCGAAGTATCACCTTCCGAAAAAATTAGTTGTTTAGTTGTTTGTTTTCTATTATTTAAAATACAAATGCTTTAACGAAAGGAATCAATGGTGTAATTACAATTTTGCAGACAAATATTATATTTAATGTGAAAACATTAATATATAAAAAATAATTTATGAACAATTTTACAAATATCTGCTAAGAGATTATAATATATGTAATACCATCTGCAGGGGTATATTTAACACCCTGGCACGAAACAAAGGGTAGGTATTTGAAGTAACGATCTTAGGCTCAACAGATCGCCCTGCTTGAATTCGCTGCTAAGAAAAAGGACATCTGCAGGCTGTTGAATGCATTTTTATTTTGGAACTAAGTGTTCCAACTAGTAAATCCCCATTCCGATTCATATAATTATAATCAAGTCCAGCAAAATATTGATCATTGTCTATTAATGGGGACAACGCTGTATTTCTTGGGACTAGAACCTCTTCTGGGTTTTAGTCAACTTTCCACCTCGGAACCCTTGGGTTTCAGCTAGTTAATCCCATTTCTATGCGCATGAATCAGCAGCTCAGCGGCGGAGAAAGGGGCGTGGATGTCGGCGGGGGCGGGGCCCCCAGAGGCTGAATTTGGACTCACCTTCGACTTCACCTCGATCAGATTTGATTCGCCGCTGGCCGCTGTGCCGGATGTTGTGTTTATCTTGTTCTTTGACATTTTCTCCAATCCCAGTGACCACAATTTTCCTCACACACAACACAAAAACACAGCAGTTTCTCTGATCTGATCTTCAGGATCGAACCCAGCCGACCGATACGAACCGAAACCGAACCAAAGAGCAGTGTACCGATGGCGATGGACAACGAATGTGGGGGCTGGCAATAAATTAGAGTTAGAAATCTAAATTAAAACTAATTAAATAAAAGAAATGAATGGAGGTGGATGGTATTAAATCTCGTTCAGCGCCCGGTGTTGGTAAACGCCGGCGTTGCGGAATGCGGTGTGTGTTGGGCAACGTCACCCTCAACCACCGTCCAGGCCAAAGTCGCATAGAGCTTAATTGGAGGTCAATCAATTTGTATCATTATCCGTTAATTTAATAGGCCACATCACATTTATTTATTTGATTTTAAACGCTAATGTAAGAATGTTAGTTGTTTGCTAATTATCGATACATCGATTACACCTGAGCAGCCCTGAAAGGCGCATTAGTGTAGACACAGTTCGTTTCTGCGGGCTAGGAGGCCTTTGAATACGCTACATTTCAGAAGGGTCTGAAAACTTTGCTTAATATTTCGTTTTACCTGAAATTTGATAACAATTATATAACTTGTGAAAATTTTGAGCCAAGCTTAAGAATCTTTTCAAGCTACCCGCCGTTAAGAAGCTCACCCAATTGCCGCACTCAAACGACTTGAAGACTCTTATATGCCCCAATCGCAGCGCAGCGCCAGCGGCGAGGGTTACTGTAAAATGGAAACTGTTTTTGTGTGTTGTTGTCGAGCGTGAAGTGTGCAATTAGACAACCGATTTTGTTTAAATGTGTCGAGAAAAGGAACACTGCAAGAACGGCGAAGGCGAGCGAATCGATTTTGAAACAAAAACAAGCTACGCAGCTAAATTCTAAGTCGATTGGAAATTCGGAAATTGGGAAATTCGAAAGGTGGTCCCCCATCTGATGTATATATACATATAAGAGAGCGTGCAAAAACAGAAACCCAAACAACAGAAAAGAAGAGACCAGTGGCGGGGTTGGAAAAACGCAGCGCTCTAAGCTACAAGTATTTTAGCCAGTTTTCCACGACAGCTGGGAAAAGGCGGTGAAATTGCGACTTTCGGCGGCCCAAAGAGCTCAGCTGCAGGAATAAGCTGACGCGAAACCTTGAGACACACACCGATTCTCACGAACACGCGCACTCTCACTCACAGAGGAGCCAACACTCACACACGCTCAGGCGCAGGAGCATCAGGAAGTGCAGACACCATGAGTTCGGTAGAGTAAACAAATTATCCAACTAAATACAGTCACTGTGAACAACTCAAAAGCAATCCCTGAACTATTTAACTTCAAATGTTATTCCCTTTCAAAAAAAAAAAAAAACACAAATTTAGTTATATTGGTATGCCCTGATGTCTGATTGCGTTTAAACTTAAAAAACCAGGTTCTAAATACAAATAAAGCCTGCGGGAGTTGTAAAATATAGTTGTTCGACAAGATCATTAGATCTTGCAAACACATCCCTGTTAGTATCGATCCGCTATCCGGCTAAAAGCTGGGTTTCTCTTCATGTACAAAGGAACAATTTTCTAGAATCTTCATAAGTAGCGAAGATCCTTTTAAGGATCTGAATACGCTTGTATACGATTTAAGGGCATTAAATCAAAACCGAAATAAAGTTGCAATATTCTGGAAATATATACATAGACATCGCAACTTTTCTTATAGGCTTTGACTTGCCGAGGTTAAAGTAAGGGGTTTGCTTCGAGTTAGGCCAAGCCATGTGGTTTCCAAAATCCCGAAACTAATATTTTAATTTTTAAAACTCCCCCAATCTGCAGCAATATTCGAATGTGGAGAACCTGTCGCCGCAGACAATTCGGCAGGTGATGAGGGAGCTACAGGAGATGGAGACCACGCCGCCGGAGGGCATCAAGGTGCTAATCAACGAAAGCGACGTAACGGACATACAGGCGCTAATAGACGGACCTGCTGGAACTCCGTACGCCGCAGGTGTTTTTCGTGTTAAGTTAACGCTGAACAAGGACTTCCCGCAGACGCCACCGAAGGCGTACTTCCTCACCAAGATCTTTCACCCAAATGTGGCCGGCAACGGGGAAATCTGCGTGAACACACTGAAGAAGGACTGGAAGCCGGACCTAGGCATCAAGCACATTCTGCTCACCATCAAATGCCTGCTGATCGTCCCAAATCCTGAATCGGCGCTAAACGAGGAAGCCGGCAAGATGCTGTTGGAGCGTTACGACGACTACTCGCAGCGGGCGCGCATGATGACTGAGATCCATGCCCAGGTGAAAATCGGGTTACTTTTCCTTGCATGCGAAGCATAATGTGACAAGAACCGATGAATTTTGATCAAATTTAAAAAATTTTGATTTTATGTTTCAATTACAGAACAGCAAATTCCACATAATGTCCGTTTAAAAACAAAATCCTTGTATCACACTGAGTATATCATGACCAATCATAATCGTTTTGACTTGACTTTATTGTTGTGTTTTTGGGGTAACGAACTATTACTTACTATCCTCTTCCTTACAAAATAAAATACATCCTTCAAATAGTGGTAGAAGATCCAACCTTCTAATCAGTGATGGTACGGCCAGATTTTGTTTCTAATTAATTTGTAGTTATAATTAAAAGAACTGGAATTGACGGTTTAAAAACTGGTTCTTGATTGAACATTGAAACTAATTTATGCTTATTAATCCTCTTCAAATATAAAATGTCTAACATATTCCGATTTCATTTTAATTGTAGCCTGTAAAGTGCGGTGCAGGCCCTGCTGGCGATGCCAAAGACGACGACGGACCCTCGACAAAGAAGCACGCGGGACTGGACAAGAAGCTGCAGGATAAGAAGAAGGAGAAGTTGCTTAAGGAGAAGAAGCGTATGCTAAAGAGATTATGAGAGGCATAAGGCGAAGTTCCATGGACTAGCTAATCAACCAGAAGCAGTAAGCAGTAAACAGCAGGAAATAGCAGATACGAAAGGAAGGATGGATGTTAAAGAAAGGATAAGTGCGAGCGTTAACCCCAGAACCACTTGAAAGGCTGCAGGATCAAAGCTAGCATAGTGGACATTAAGGAACAGGCGCGCTATGAAATTTTACACTGATCTGATTAAAAAAAAGAAAGAAAATTAAGCAACGGAAGTTAAAGCTGCAAAATTTCGGTAGAACGAGAGACAGACAAAACCACTCCAAAGAAAAGTGCATCCAGTTACCATATACGATTATTTAAATCACATTTTTTGGTGACAGCACCTGTCAACCGAGCCTAGAAAGTAGAAAAAACATACAAACAAACAAAAACCAAGAAAAATGGGGAAAGCAACCATCTCCTAATAATTTATGTAGTTCTCTTTTCTTAACGCTCATGAGATATCCTAGAATAATTTATGTAACTAGATTAACGAAGAAAAATGAGAACATCATCGCCTCATAAATGCCACACCCCAGCACCCTGCCCAAATCTCTCTTAAAAGAATCACCACTTAACCTTATTGAGCACTATTTGTCTTTTTGGGGTTCGTCCTTATAACTGGGTATACTCCCCTGTAATCAATTTTCCAGAACAACTGTGTATTACTAAGAATTCGATTGCGCAATGTATGAACGCTCCCTACAACTTAAGTTTATCCCCTTAATAATTGTGTTTTTTAAAATTGTATCCATTAAGTTTAAAAATTAATACATTTTATTCGTTACATTCAATTGTCCTGCTTAGGTTTACTATACAAAAAGAAAGCAACCACGCACCCAACAAACAATCACAAAGAAATACAAACAATTGATGAAAAACTGTAAACGATCGATTGCACATTCTATAGGGTCATAGGTTTAGGTACTTATAACTGTAAAACACTCGATGCGGGATGAAATAGAGCGGAATGGATCGGAACGGAATAGCACGGTGATAAGTGCATGGGATATCCTCGTCCTTTCGGTCGCTATATCGCTATATCTTTCACGCCTGCCGCTCTCTTTCCTTTCGTTCAAACATTCTCTCCAAGCTCACACAACAAACACATAAAACGGGAGTGAAGAGTTAAAAGCAATAAAAATGAATAAAATTCCAAAAAAAATTTAAATATGATGATTCAAAAAATTTACAGATGATCATTATGAAAAATGGTTTCATAATATACATACGTTTAAAGTACTATGTATATGTTTTCTTTCTAAACGCATATAAGTCGTTTGTCCGAAAAACTTTCTACCTTTTGCTTTCAAAATATTAAGAGGTATGTAGGAACCTTTGGCGGGCACTTAAAACTTCTATCCAATTTAAAAAAAATAAAGAGGTTGAAAAATGTCAATGGGAAATCATATGAATAGTTTTTGGAGTAGGGTATTTTGGGACCTCACGTTTTTCAACATTATACTATATTGTTTTGCAGTCATCAAATATCTATAGTACCAGATTGTTTCCTATTTTTTCGTATTGTTTGTTCGATCATTAAAACGTCGGCGATAACGTGTACTATATAGTACTTTTGTAGTTTTGAATTTTCTTACTTATATGACAGCTATATGATATAGAAGTCCGATCTTTTTATACCCTTGCAGAGCAAAAGGTATTATAATTTCAGTCAGAAGTTTGCAACGTAGTGAAGGAGACACCTCAGACCCCATAAAGTATATATATTCTTGATCGGCATCACGGTCAGAATTCAAATACGTCTGTACGTTTGTCCGTCTGTCCTCCTGTCGGTTTCTATGCAAACTAGTCGCTCAGTTTTAAAGCTATCTTGCTGAAACTTTCCCAAAAGTTGTGTAGTTGTTGCACGTAGTATATAAGTCGGAGCAGGACGGATCGGCCGACTATATCGGATAGCTCCCATACGAGAGAATGAAATAAAAAATTTTCACACCGTTGTTTTTGATCAGATCGACTTGATTTCTTCCAGATGGCGTTTTCTACCTGCAATTGAATTTCAGATTAAATTTTATCAAAATCGGATCACTCTATCATATAGCTGCCATCAGGGCCGGCGGAAGGCGTGGGTATTATGGGTAGTACTACCCGCCTGAAACTTCTGAAGGTGGGTAATTACCCACCTGAAAAACAGAGATGAAAACCTTAAAGTGATCTTAAAAATTGACTTAGCAAATAAAGAAACATAAAATCAGTTCAGAACAATATGTTAAATTTTATTAAAAATTCATGAGACGACCCCCGCTTATCGTTTGTCCGGAGAATTACCCACCTGGAATCAAAACGTTTCGCCGGCCCTGGCTGCCATAGGAAAGATCGAAAAATATATTTATAAATAATGGAAAAAAAATATAAAAGCGTTGTTTTTAATCCCACGAGCATGATTTTCAAAATATGGAGTCTTTTAATAACCCTTTAATTAAGAAAAAAATTTCATTAAAACCCGATAATGTTATTATATAGCTACCATAGGAAAGACCGAAAAATCTATATAGCAATAACGGAAATAAAATTATAACATCGTTGTTTTTCATTAGACAAGCATGATTTTTGAAATATAAAGGTTTCTAACTACTCTTGAATAAAGAATTAAATTTTATCAAAATCGGACAACTATATCATATAGCTGCAATGTGAACAATAGTCGAAAATGTGGAAAACTAATAGAAAAATCGTCATAGCTTCGATGTTGTTTACCTCTTATGTATTTTGTTCAACATATTTGCTGACTGCAAGGGTATATAAGCTTCGGCTTGCCGAAGCTAGCTTCTTTTCTTGTTTTAATCTATTATCAAAAGGAATTGCTGAATGTCGCTTATACGTGCAATACCTACACAATTTTTTGAAAAGCTTCAGCAAGATAGCTTCAAAACTGAGAGATTGTTTTACATAAAAGAAACACACGGAAAGGCGTCTAGATCGATTCAGATGGTGATACTGATCAAAAAAATATATATGTATATATATAATCTGAGGTGTCTTCTTCGCCGCAAACATCAGACTGCAAATTATAATACCCTCTGCAGGGGTACAAAAACGAATTGAATCAATCAGAAGAGTTTTTCCGTGCATCCATTGTTAGAACTTGGGTTTTCAGATCACGTAGCGCGTGCCAATAACAAAAGGCATTTCCTAGTTCCGCTTCACTACCCTTCCCTTTCCGGCCCCTCGGCCTACGGTTCAGCGGAAGAGTTTATCTATGTTTTGGGGAGTTTCTCGGTTCCCGCGATTCTGCGAAATGTCATGAGACACTCGCACACAGACACACATTCTCGAGTGGTGACTACGGGTCTGAGTAGGTGTGTGCGGTTCTTTCCCCCATCCTAACGAACCCCTCGCTCCGACTTTCTAGCTGACTTTGTCTTACCGCCAACGCTTTTAAGCCGGGCCAACATTCCAATCGGATCGGATCGGATCGGGTCTAACCTTCAGGGCAACTTGTCGCTCGAACCAAATATTGTCGCACAACAAGAACCAGAATTTCCTTAGTGCAGCGAATTTTGAATACCCTTCAAAGAGCAATGGTTGTATGATCGGTGACCATATAAATACATTGAGACAAAAATAGTCTGTAGTAAATTAAAAACGTATTTTCTAAGAAGTAAATTAATAAATAATTGTAACGGCAGAACGCTCTTAATTTCAAAAACAATGGACTTTTGTAAGCCTCTTTTAAATTCGTCAAGGTTGGGCCCTAGAAAGTATGCAATGAGATTCAGCTTGTTGCGTTGGGAATTTGGAAACGTACTTACCTGTTTGAGGTTAGGGTATTACCTAGCTCTCTCTCATCGATATGTGTACACATGTATGTACAGCTGTGTTCATAATAATAGCAGTGCAATAGCAACGAAGTAAAACAACGGTAATTTAAGCATATTCCTTTTCGTTAGTTGATCGCTTGATCATTTTTTTTGTAAAATGGAATATAGAGATAGGAAAACTAAAAAAGTTCCATTAGATTTGCTTTTTATTTTTGTTTTTTGGACATTCTTGTGCAAAATCACAAGTTTTGGCTGTTCATAATAATAGCAGTTTTTCATTTTAATCCACAAAAAGTGCCGAAAACATTAAAAATTTTGCAAAAAGTGAGTTTGCTTGAGTTAATTAATATAATTTAAATGGAAATACACAATAACCATGCAAAAATTTTAATTTTAGTGGGTAGAGGACAACACTGTTCAGAGGAAGAGAGGAATTTGATAGCTCAGCTTAGAAAGCAGGGAAAAACCTATCAACAAATCCAAGATATGGTAAATTGTTTTACCAAAATGGTATCCAATGCCATTTATGGCATCCAATGCCATTTAAATATGATTGGAAGTCCAAAACACGTGGGCCGAAACGAAAAACAACCGATATTAAGGACCGACGAATAGTGTGCTTCAACAAAGCGAATCCTCTTGCATCTTCTAGGGATGTAAAAGTGGAGCTGAAGTTGGGGATCAGCGACGTCACCATTCACCTTCGATTAGTAAATGGAAATTTAAATGCGTGAAGCCCCCGAAAGGTGCCATTACTTGGTAAAAGGCATATCCAAGCTCGATTGGAGTTTGCCAAAAGCCATTTGTACTGGCCCGTGACGAAATGGCGCAATATTCTTTGGACAGATGAGTCCAAACTGGTTTTGTTTGGTGGAACAGGCTCAAGACAGTATGTCCGACGACCCCCAAACACTGAGTACCACCCAAACCACCCTCTTAAGACCGTTAAGCACGGTGGCTTTAAAATATTGGTATGGGCTTGTTTTTCGTACAGCGGCGTGGGTCGCATACATATGATCTATGGGATCATGGACCAACACGTCTATGTGGACATACTCAAAATTGTTATGCTTCCTTATGCACAGTGGGATATGCCCTTAAAATGGTCATTCCAGCAGGATAACGACCCAAAACATACCAGCAAATTGGCTAAGAGCTGGTTTATTTAAGAAAACATTGATGTAATGTCGTGTCCAGCACAGTCCCCGGATTTAAATCCGATTGAAAATTTATGGGGGGACATCAAGCGATATGTGGCAAAGAAATCCCCGACTTCAAAGTCGCAGCTTCGGCCATTTGTACCGGACGCGTGGGCGCAGATTCCCCCTAAGCGTTGCCAGGACTTGGTGGACTCCAAGCCACGTAGGTGTGAAGCTATAATAGCCAATAAAGGTTTTACGACAAAATATTAGTTAATATTTATCATTATTGTTATTTGTATTAAGTTATTTTTAAGATTTGTTAAATTTTTTAATTTTTTTTGGTAACACTGCTATTATTATGAACAGCACATTTTGTCGTTATTATTTTGTTATTATGAATATTTTCGAAAATAATGGAGTTATTAAACTGAAACAAATGTTAACATAATTAAAATTAAATATATTATGTTGATGTAAACCAAATTTGTCCCAATTTAGTGTTTATACTATGATTTTTCGATCTTAAACATTTACGTCATCAGCACTGCTATTATTATGAACACAGCTGTATGTATGTATTTATATATTGCGCTTACTTCGGAGTCAGATTCGGACCGAGTTCGATTTCGATTGTTCGGACTGACTGGTCTCTCTTTCGCTCTCTCTGGTGCTCGCAAAGTCGGGCTTGAATGAATGGCCAGCAGATGGACCGACCGCAAAATGGAAAATGACGATCGATGGGTGAACGAGAGGGGGAGGAGCGGCAGGAGGGAGCAGCGATCGCCAATTTCAGCTAAAGCTATGGGCAAAGCAGCAGCCAGCAGCAGCAACAACAACAACAGCAACTGAAAAGCGAATAACAAACGGCAAAAGCAAAGCCAATGGCAGCAGGTAGATCAGTTGTGAATCTGGCAACAAACCATTTGGCTGGGGCTGCTGCTCCAAAACAAAAAAAATAATAATAAAA